GTCCTGGAGGTGCTCGTACCAGGGGTGGTGGAGCTGCCGGGACTGGTGGTGTTGGGGGCGCTGGAGGTGCTAGAGTCACTGTGCGGTCGCGACCGTACTTCGTTCCCCTGCTTCAGCAGGTTCTTGGTGTCTCGTCTTCTACTGGCCTGACTCCTCCCTTACTGTGTCCACCGCCTGACCAGTCGCAGCCGCCGTTACAGCCAGCCTCCCCACTGCCTGCTCCCTCTCCTTACACTGAGCAGTCCGGCGGTCTTACAGAGCGTCGTGAGCCAGCGTCTCGTCCTGTCTCGCTTGTTCGCACTGCTTGTCGCATTCCTCGTTCGCGTCCTCCTCCTGTCCCCGGCACGCACGCTATGGCACTCCGTCCTTCCTCTGTTCCACTGCGTGTTCCTCTGCCTGCTCCTCCTGAGTCCTCTCTTCCTGAGGTCCCTGACCCTAAGTCTGACCGCGCTTGTGCAGCCAGTCCCACTGTCTCTTGTCTCCTCGCCACTGTTGTCACTGACCCTTCTTTTGAGTCTACTGCTGCGTCTGCTCTCGTTGCTGAGCTGCTTGACTTTGCTGCTGCCTGCCGTCTAGACTAGGCCACTGCTCTTGTTTCTGAGTCTGCATCTGCCATTCCTCCGTCCGTCGGGGGTGAGTGTGCTCTTGGCACGGACGTCCTTGAGGACAGGCAGGAGGACTTTGAGTGTCTTGCAGCTGCTGTACCTCGTTTCGCTTCCATGCTGCTTGCCCCTGAGGGAGACCCGGATGCACCAGACATCCTGACCCCGAGCTCTTACGCAGAGGCGATTACGGGTCCTTACTCCTCTCAGTGGCAGGCAGCCATGGATGCCGAGATGGCATCCTGGAAGTCCACATGCACCTACGTCGACGAGGTTCCACCACCTGGGGCGAACATAGTCGATGGCATGTGGATCATCAGGGTGAAGCGGCCGCCGGGTTCTCCGCCTGCCTTCAAGGCGCGTTACGTTTCCCGAGGCTTCAGTCAGCGACAGGGAGTTGACTACTTCCAGACCTTCTCCCCCACCCCGAAGATGACTACTCTTCGGGTGTTGCTCCACGTCGCTGCTCAGCGTGACTACGAGTTGCACTCTCTGGACTTCAGCACACGTTTCCTGCAGGGCAGCCTGCACGAGGAGATCTGGCTGCGCCGCCCACCTGGCTTCACTTGATCGTTTCCTGCAAGTACCCAGTGGAGCCTCCGCCGGCCAGTCTACGGTCTCCGCCAGGCACCTCGCGAGTGGCACGACACGCTGAGGACTACACTTGCGGCTCTTGGGTTTTCTCCTTCTACTGCTGACCCGTCGCTGTTTCTCCGCACCGACACGTTGCTGCCGCCGTTCTACGTCGTCGTGTACATATACGACCTCGTCTTTGCCACTGCTGACACAAAGGCACTGACCCTTGTGAAGTCGGAGCTGCAGAAGAGACACACCTGCACTGACCTGGGTGACCTACGCAGCTATCTTGGTTTGCATATCACTCGGGACAGAGCACGGCGCACCATCACACTGACTCGGTCACACTATCAGAATGTTATATTTCTCTAGTCTGCAGTGGGGTACTCTATAGTGAGTACAGCCCTGTTAGGGTTTGCTATATGTATCCCAATGTTTGCTAGTGAAAACCCTCTTCTCTGTTTCATTCCGTTCTTCACTATTCTGGCATGCTATCAGAGCAGGTCGACCCTCTCTGGTCGATCCTGTGGATGGGCCCACCCGATGCTTCCGCTGCTGTACTGCCTGTCGCGCGCCCAGGGCGCCAAGTCCTTCAGCGCTTCGGCTTCTAGTTCTCCTCGCCACAGCCCACTCCTCTGTCTACCGGCCACTCGCTCTCAGCTCCTCCTTCGGACGAGTCCGTAGAGCCGAGTGGTCCGTACCCAGAGCTTGTAGGTTGCCTCATGTACCTGATGACGTGCACTTGACCTGACCTCGCGTACCCTCTCAGCCTCTTGGCTCGCTACGTGGCTCCCGGTAGGCACCGAAAGGTGCACTGGGATGATGCGAAGAGGGTACTGTGTTACTTGTGCAGTACGTCGGGCATGGGGCTCGTGCTTGGAGGACGGGGTCTAGTTGTCCTCACTGGTCACGCAGACGCTTCTTGGGCTGACGACTCAGCTACGCAGCGGTCGTCACAGGGTTACACCTTCAGCCTCGGTTCCGGCTCTGTCTCCTGGCGGTCTGCCCGCTCGTCTTCGGTTCTCAGCTCCAGTTGTGAGGCAAAGATCTACGCAGGAGCCATGGCTGCACAGGAGCTACGCTGGCTCACCTATCTGTTGACTGACTTGGGAGAGCAGCCTCGTTCGCCTCCAGTTCTGTACGTAGACAACAAGGCCATGATTGCCTTGTGTCAGGAGCACAGACCGGAGCACAGAACAAAGCACATCGCTCTGCGATACTTCCTTGCTCGAGAGTTGCAGCAGCCTAGCCAGCTTCATCTTGCGTACGTGGCCACTAGGGCCAACACTGCAGATGTATTCACCAAGGCACTTCCGCCTGGTGATCATCAGCGCTTCGCTACTGTGCTAGGCCTTGTGCCTACTTTGCCTCACTTGCTTAGTGCTTGACTCTGCTTGTATTGTGGTCTATATATATACCTGCATGCTTGCACTTGCTAGCGTATGATCACTGTATTGTTTGTTCTCTTTTATATAACTCTGCATGTGAACTGGCCTTGTGGCCATTTGCTTGTGCTCGGAATGTGTGGTGACTTTGTGATCCACCCTGAGCTTGCTTTGCTTTTCTTGACTGGTATTGTGACCACTTGTTCTCCCCCACTTTGCCTATGGGGGTGTGTCAAACTTATACATAGCTGACATTGTGTAGGATGTACTAGGGTAGCCCGTAAAGGGTACAACCCAATTAGGGTTAGTACTTGTACCCAACTGTTTTATAGTTCATTCACTCTCGTTCGTTATTCTGACAGTAGGATCCGTCGTAGTACATCCAAATTTGTGCGCCTTGTGCTAGGAGTTCAAACTCGAAACTCCAGGTGTAGAAGTCCTTCCCGTCGAAGGGCTTGATTGTCCTTAATTTTGCCGTTGTGGGGAACTTGCTCTGCATTGGCACCATGGTTTCGAAATGTGCCTGTTGTGCTTGTGCAGAACCTTGAGCTCCGCGATTGTCGAAGGTGAATGATCGTTCAGACCCAGCTCCTTGAGGATCGGGAGGTCGTCGGGCGTAGCTAGAGCCGTCGATGCTCATTGGCTGGTGTTTTTCCAGGGCGCTGATGCGGGAGATGAGCTGCTCGGGGAGCGCTGAATCTACAGTCGTTGTTGTAGAAGCGACTTTGGTGGAGGGAAGTACTGTATGTTCTCCACCCTCTCCGCAATCTGCGCCTGGCATGTTTCTTGCCCTTGATGTAAGGATAAGTTTTAGTAGAAGTTGTATTGTTAAAGACCTTTTGCAGTTCCTCTAATCCAAACTAGCTCTCATACCATGTTAGAGTAAGGATCCTTGGATAGGATAGGAATTGCCTCAGAGAATTGGTAGCGGAAGACTTGTTGTAAGAACCCTTGTGTATAGTAGATGTAAATGACAAAGTTGATTAAATGATAGATTACACAAAAAAAAGTAGTCCTATCTAGCCATGTACTCTAAGGGGTACATTCCCTTATTCTAACTGTTTTACAAGCAGTTCTACAGTGACTCTGACTGTTGCTCTTCTTCTTTTTACCGAGTCGCTGCGTGTAATCGTACAGACGGTTACGCCTGTTGCCATTCCTCGATGGTGAGTCAATCGGTCCAGATGGTCAACAGTCGCGACAGTTGACTTTTGCGACTGTTGACCTTCCTGCCCATGTTACAGGCTGATCCGATACTGCTGCAGGCACTACTTCGATAGTGACGGGTGTGATACAGCTGCACCTACGGGAATGGTATCTTAATCCCCTTCATACTCCAACACCTGCCCTCTAAGACATCATTGCCAAGGGCAGGAGCACCCTCGATAGACGGAGGATGGTCAGGAGCAGAGAACAACCGCACGATCTACTCGACACCCACACGGAATGCGCAAAGAAAATATATAGCTGATTATATCATCCAATTGTTAGGATCTATAATGGAACCGTTTTGCAGCAAATGCAGAGCTCATCTAAGAGTATTCTTAGGGCTGGTCACACCATTTTGTTCCCAGTTCATTTGACGTGGTTTAATACGGTCATTCACGCATGTGCGCGGTTTCGGGATTTCACCGTCTTAGACCATTGCGTAGCTGGATGAACTAGTCAAAACTAACCTCAAACAAAAAAGTTAAGAGCCAGACACCAGCTTGAATATTCTTTGCTCAGACTTGAGGGAATGACGGACCACCCTGGTTTCGGGTTTCCGATTCCTTTCGGCAGTGGTTTTGACACCGCCTTGCTTTGCGCTCGCGTCCGATACCTTCGGTCAGTTATTTACGCTATTGCCCATTTTCGAGTCCAGAGACTAATATTGTGTTTTATTTATTGGGATATCATAAATTGAATTGTCGCGTCAAATACGAGAAGCTCAGGACAAAAATATATGCCCTCATGGAGGGCATGCCATTTAGGAGGCATCAACTCTAAACACCATGAGGCAAGGTGTTTAGGGTTGCTGCCTCCCAAATGGCCAGCCATCCGAGAGGGGTATTTTTTCCACTGGCCACTAAACTAAAACCAGGTAAACTTCAGAATTTTCCTGGTCACAGGAAATTGGAAATGTCGAAATCAGCTGCCCCAAGGAATCGGACGCGAGCGGAGAAGCGAGGCAGTGTCAAAGCCACTGCCCAAAGGAATCGGAAACTTGAAAACAAGGCGATCCGTCATTTCCTGCTCAGACTTTCTTTGCTTCGTGTCAAGTGAGCAGGGCTTTTATTCTCCAGTTCTCCATTGTTTAGTGTTTGCTATTTCTGAACGAGGAACATAATCCCTGCCAGAAGGATACAGACACGAAGGGAATCAGTACGAGTTAGTAGGAGTAAGTAGGAGTTAGTAGGAATTAGTAGGAGTAATAAGGAGTAAGAGTCTCGCTGCCATGAGCCTTCAGCTCGTTCAGAGCTACGATTCCGACGAGGACGAAGCGCGTTCAAGGAGCGCGGCTTTTGTGCAGGGAGGCGATTCGTCGGATTCTTCAGGCAGCGATTCGGAAGACGCGGAGGATGCGGAGGCAGAAGAAGCTTCGCGGAACGGAGAGGATGATAGCGGCGGGAAAGAAAACGCGGGAGGAGCGGCGACGGCCGGTAGGAATGCCGGAGGAGCGCTGGCGGCCGATAGAATAGGCGGCGTGAGACGAACGGCTGCTGGATTTTTGCCGGAGAAAGGACCCTCGGGATTGCCGTCCGCTGCAGCGGCGTTCGAAGCGGTGCGTGGTACTTTTATTCCGGTGCTGCGGCATTGGTGTGGAGGAGAGGAGGAAAGGGTGGGGAGGGAAGGGAGGGAAGAGGGACGGGTAAGTTAGGGATGGGAGGAAGGAAGAGGGGGTAGCGAGTGGTTGAGTGAAGTGAGAAAGGACACGTGGGATTACGGTCCGGTTCGAAGCGGTGACTCGATATTCCAGGCCGGTCCTGTGGTACTGGTGCGGAGCCGAGGAGAAAGAGGGAGAGCAAGCGGGGTGGGTATTGGGGGCAGGGGGGGGAAACTAGGGTTTGGGGAGGTGGGTGGGGTCTCGTGAGTGCACGGCCGCACAGGCAAGCCACAAGCTAGTTCGTTGCTGGATTTCCTTGGGAAGCACGTGAATTGCAAAGAACCTATCACTTTCAACCTATCACGTGCTTCATAAGGGAATGGCACCCACCTGCAAGTTGAGAATGGCAAAGAACCTATCACATTCAACCTACCATTCTCAACCTATCACCTTTAACCTACCACTCTCAACCTACCATTCTCAACCTACCACTCTCAACCTATCACTCTCAACCTATCACTCCCAACCTATCACTCCCAACCTATCACTCCCAACCCATCAGGGTAGAAGGGAGGCCTTCCTCTTCCCCCCTTTCCTGGTGACTTTTGAGTCGACTCAAAAGTCACCTTGAATTGCAAAGAACCTATCACATTCAACCTATCACATTCAGCCTACCATTCTCAACCTGTCACTCCGAACCCAACCCATCAGGGTAGAAGGCAAACCTTCCTCTTCCCCCCTTTCCTGTTCCCTCATTCTCCAATCAACCCCATCACTCCAACTCCTCTCCCTCTTCTTGTTCTCCTTATAGGTGGAGGAACTGTCGCCCTTCCTTGCCCCAACGGCCCTATCCCACCACATGCACATACCCCACACCGGCAAGCTCGTTGCTGCCTTCCCCACTCTCCACTCCCTCCCTGTCTGTGTCATTCCCTCAGGTAGGGGGGCCGCCATCCTTCCTCGCCCCAACGGCCCTCTCCCACCACATGCATATAGCCCGCGCTGGGAAGCTCGTTGCCATGGGATCGGCCAATGAGGAGGCTCCACGTGGCACCGTGTCTGTCGCGGGGACGGCTGCAGCTGCTCCTGCAGCGGTGGTGTACCGAGAGAGGCGGGCTGGGGGAGTCGGTGGTGGGGGTGAGTTCATAAATAACTCTTAGAACACTCCACACCACACCACACCACACCACACTCCTCCACACCACACCGCATGCCTCCACACCACACCACAAGCCTCCTGCAGCGGTGGTGTACCGAGAGAGGCGGGCTGGGGGAGTCGGTGGTGGGGGTAAGTGGGTGGTGTGGGGGTTGGGGTGAGTGAGACAGAGTGGCCGTGCACTATCCTCTTCTCTGTGTGTCTGTTGTGGGGGTGGCTGCGGCTGCTCCTGCAGCGGTGGTGTACCGAGACAGGCAGGCAGGGGGTGAGTCTTCTAACTTGTATTGAACCTGAACCTTCATGCCTGAATCTCTCAGAGCACCCTATGTCTCTTGCCTCCTGCTCCTGCAACGGTGGTGTACCGAGAGAGGGGGTCTTAGGGGGTCGGTGGTGGGGGTGAGTTTTCTAGATTTTGCTGAACCCGAACCTTCATTCCCTGAATCTTTCAGCGCCCCTTCCACACGCTGTCACTGCACCTGCGCCTGCTGCCCCTGCTGCTGCCGCTGCTGCAGCTGCTAACCCTGCTGCAGTGGAAACGCTCTTTAGCCCATCTCCTCTGCCTCCTGCTCGATCCCTCTGCTGCTCCTGCCCTCTCCCCCCCTTCGCCCCTTTTCCAGCACGGGAGATCGTAGCTGCACTTGTGAGAAACCGAAACTCCCCTGCTGCTGCTGCTGATGATGCTGCTGCTGCTACTGCAGTGCAATATAATACATATGACCCTCTATTAACACATTCCCTTGTCCCCCCCCCTCTGTTATCTCCCTCTTTCCGGTACGGGAGATTGTAGCAGCACCCGTGAGAAACCCAAACGCCCCTGCGGCTGCTGCTGTTGCTGCTGCTGACCCTGCTGCTGCAGCTGCTGCAGTGCAAGATACAATTTGTCCCTCCATTTACCCATTCCCTTGCCTCCCCCTCCCCCTTCCAGTGCGGGAGATTGTAGCAGCACCTGTGAGAAACCAGAACGCCCCTGCTGCTGAACCTGCTGCTGTGGAAGGGGGGGATGAGGGAGCAGAAGGCTCCGACGCAGTGAATGGGGATGCGACACGTGGCAGAAAGGCAGTGGGCGTGTCAATGCCTCCTAAAGCCGACGCTGTGGATTTGCTCAGGTGGGTAGAGGTTCAATGCGGTGGAAGGGGTTGCAAAGAGATACAAAGGGGTGCAAGGGATCTGGAGGGAGATGGAGATGGGCTGTATAGGAGCAAGGTGGAAAGGCAGTGGGAGTGTCAATGCCTCCTAAAGCTGACGCTGTGGATTGGCTCATGTGGGTAGAGGTGCAAAGAGGTGCAAAAGGGTTGTAAAAAGGGTTGGGAAAAGGGTTGGGGAAAGTCCAGTAGAGCCTCAAATGTCACAAAGGTGGATATGGTGGTGAAGTTTGAGAGAGGATGTTTTCTAGAGATCTTTGTTGGAGTCATTATTGAGAATTCAACAAAATGACTCCGAGATCTGTGGTTCATCAGTCCCAGATGTTGAGGAACTGGGATATTGGCATGGCACCATACATGCTGAGTTTCTGCAATTCTGTTTTGTATGTATGTTTTCAATGTCAGACTCTACTCTCTACCTTTCAACTCAACTTTTTTTCTCCCTTTGACTCTGCTGGAATGTCACAAACATTTGCAGGATCTGCCCGACGTGTCAGGTTCCCAAAACTCCTTCCTCAGGGCAGGGCGTGGTCTGCCCAATTTGCCGCGATAGGCCAGCAGGAGACGCTGACGTGGCAGCTGGCAGAGAGAAGGCGAAAAAGCGGGAAGGGGATAGTAAAGTCAAGGACAAGGAGAAATCGAAGCGAATGAAGGGCCAATCGTCGCATGCCACGTGGAAGAGTGAGACAGAGATGCAGTTGAGGCAGACATATGACTGAGGAATGACCAGGGTAACTAGTGTGGAATATGATGGTAGTTTTTGCTAGACCAAGAGTGACATGTTTTAACTGCTGTAAAAAAATAAAAAGGGTATGCTGCTGTGTCATGTGAGTGTATGCATAATCAGAACCGAATAATGTATATGTAGGCCGTAAGTACACTGCACAAAACAAATTTATGATTGCATGGTCTGATTTTAGGGAAAATATGTCAATGGTGACTTACATGGGGCAGTATAACGCGTACGGTAACGATTTCAACGCGTTTGGTAACTCGCTTAACGCGTTTGGTAACTCGCTTAACACGTTTGGTAACTCGCTTAACGCTTATGGTTGATCCTGAAATTGAGGAATTTTTCGAGTTTGAAAGCCTTTACGCACAGTTTTATCTTTCTTGAACAAGTTCCGCCGCTACTTTGAAGGACCCTGTTTAGTCTAATACCACGGACCAAGAAGTTTCAAAGTTTATATATATATATGGCTCGTACAAAAACGGTTCAAATCATATTTTTGATAGCATGATTGCGAACTTGCAAAATGATTAAAAATAAAACTTTCCGCGAAAGGGCATCGGGCTTTTAAGTTTTGTAATTACTGCAACGTTGGCCATTTTTTTTCATGTGGAAAAGATACCTCTTTAGAATTACATGTTTCATTTTTCAAGAAAGAACCATATACGCCTTTGTCGCAAGGAGTTTAGGGTTGATGCTCCCAAATTCATTTGCCATCTGAAAGGGGCATAGATTTGTTTGCCCCGGTTGCACGATAGAATTAAGTAAAAGCAGATTGTGGAAGGAGCGCCAGAATATCAATTGCATATAAAACTTTGTTTTTGAAACACTTACGGTTTTGCAATTAGCTTGAAAATCGTAAAGTGTGTCAAGATTTCGGGAAGTGTGTCAGAATTTTGGAAAGCTGTGTCAGAATCTCGGAGAGTGTGTCAGAGGTTTCTGCTTCAAGATTCGTCAATTTAGTCTGACGCGAGCGGGAAAAACCAGAATCAGGGTCATTTTGGGCGAGGGTTTCTTCTAGTTACCATTCGCGTGATGGGCTGCTAGTGTATAGTTACCATACGCGTTAAGCGAGTTACCAAACGTGTTAAGCGAGTTACCAAACGCGTTAAGCGAGTTACCAAATGCGTTGAAATCGTTACCGTACGCGTTATACTGCCCCATGTAAGTTACCATTGACATATTTTCCCCTGATTTTAAGCTAGGCTCGGCTTGTGCCATCTGTTGACAGTTGCAATGGATACACTGCGACCGTGATGCTGTTACGATGGGTCGCATGGTCGTCCATGCGACCATCTCCACCGCACGATGCAGGGTCATGAACTCGTTCTGATTCATCAGCCCCACAGAACAAACATACAAGCAAGGCAATCATCGAAAGAAACAGAGCAAGTAAATCTCTCTAGGCCTAAAATAGCATCCATAGGAGCAACATACCTAAATAAACGCCTAGGAGTACCAGAACCACCGTTCTTGCTACCTCTGTTCTACATCTGCTGCTGCTGATCTCTACTGAACCATCCAGAGGGTAGCGTGTGACTGCACTTAGCAAGAAATGCCGCACGCAGCAAGTGGAGGGCCCTCGCTCTTAGCACTGAAGGGGCTGATCTTGACCCAGAGGAGGGAGAAGATGGAGGCGAGCAGCACCGACCACACGATCACGATCGTGGGCATCTTGGCGTTCCGCCCACCGAGGCCCTTCATGAAGGGGTAAAGGTGAACAATCACCCAGAAGGCAAAGAAGAGCTTTCCGAACAGGTCACCCCACTCCGCGGTTCCCGAGTTCATGGCGACAGCGACTCCCGCGACAATTCCGAGGACATTGAAAATAATCAGGAAAAGCGGTGGAATAAGCAGCGACGTCCACTTGAACAGGTAGAGCTCAGCAAACTCGCCATCTTCCGCCTGCTTAGCTGTAACCGTGAAGTTGGTGTCAATGCCAGCTAGCACTTTCAGCATGCCCTGGAAAACCGCAAAAAGATGCGCGGACACCCCTCCGATGACCCAGAACTGCTCGTTTCTCCACCACTCGGTCATGCTGACCTTGGACCACCTCATTTCAAGCAGACCCGTTGCGAAAATACTGAGGAAAAGCGCGATGAAATACAGCGTAGAAACTGTATCGAGGTACGGGATGATGAACTTGTTGGTGAGCAGGCAGATGGCGGGCAGCATGCAGTACATGAGCAGCGGGAAGGACGTGAACGGGTAAACGACGGTGTTGATGTAAGAGAGTCGCTGAAGCAGCTTCAGGCGGTTGCCCCTCCAGCCATACCAGATGGGGCAATGGCGGGAGAGGAAAATCTCAACTGACCCAAGCGCCCACCGAAGCACTTGCTGCAAACGGTCGGACAGATTAATAGGTGCTCCTCCCTTGAAGGTGGCGCGCTTCGGCTTGCAGTAGATGGAGCGCCAGCCGCGCGCGTGCATCTTAAAGCCTGTCAGAATATCCTCTGTGACTGACCCGTAGATCCAGCCAAGCTGTAAGGGAGGGAAAGGACAACGGGCGAGAGGGTAAGGGGACGAGAAACAAGCTGTGGGCAGGGAAGGGAGAGCAACGGACATCAGACAGAACCTGCTATGGTGACTGATGAATCAAGATGGTAAGTGACAAATCGTACCTCCTTGCCCCACTCCGTCTTCTCCTCGTAGCCGCACGAGATGACGTGGATGGCCTCCTTAAGAGTGGACCCGGGACTAGCAGAAGCCACGCCGCCGCCCTCCTCATGGAAGGTGGAGAGCACAAAGACCGGCGACTGGCCGAACTTCTTCTCAAACTTCTTGAGCGCCAAGAGGCTGTCGCCCTCCACTGTGAGGGAAGAGAAACGAAGAGGAATACGGGGATGGATAATGGCGGCAAATGAGGGAAAGAGTTGACCGAGGCGAGTATCAAGAATCAGCGTACAACAAATATCACCATTCCATTCCGTTGGCATACCAAACAAACCTACTCACCATCATCATCACCCAGGAAGGCCTCAGCGCCAGCAGGCAGCGGCGTGCCGTCCGGAAGCTGCTTCCGCTTGCTTCCGCCCTCCTTCCCTCGGTCGCCCGCGCAGCAGCTGAAGCACGAGCACATGAGCCCGCCGCACCGCGCCTTCTTCTCCTTCTTGGGCGGCTCGTAACCGTAGAGCGCGTGGCGACGGAAGCAGCAACCGGTACCCACGTAGCAGGGGCCCTGAATACCATCGAGCCCTGGCAGATTGATCTGTGGGAGTGTGCATGGGGAGAGAGTTGCGGGTAAGACATCACAGGAGGAAATGAGCAAGCTTGAGGTGCGAATGGCAGAAAACAAAGGCAGAGGGTGAACGGGAGGTAAAGCGAAACCGAACAAGGTACACGAGTCGTTGCCTTACATCGAAGAAGACGGTGTTGTGGTTGGCGTAACGATCGTTGGGGTCAATGCCGTCGAATCGCTGCGGGAACTGCACGTAGCAGCACTTCTTGCCCACATTCGGGTCCATCATAAAACACATCGCCTCCCGAAGCGCCTTGCTGTCGTTGAGGTAATGATCGCAATCCAGATTCAGCATGTACGGCGCGTTGGAGAGAATCGCCGACACGCGGATCAGCGAGTTCATCGCACCGGCCTTCTTGTGGTGGTTGTAACCCGGGCGCTTTTCGCGAGACACGTACACCAGTCGCGGAAGCACGTGACCGTCCACGTCGGTTCCGCCGCTCGGGCCGAGGAAGACCTGGATCATGCCGGGATGGTCACGGGATTTGCTGCCGGGCCACGGCGTGCCGTCCTGCATCACCCAGCCTTCTTCGGGCATCTTGTGGGAGCGCGCAACGAGAGAGTTGATGCGGATTTTGAACTCCTCGTAGTCCCTCTGTAATAGTAAAAATGGATGGCAGAGAACGGAAGGGGTAAGGGGCAGGGCGGGGGGCGATATTCAAGATGAGAAAATACAAGATGAGAAAAAGAAAAGAAAGTTATCACAGGAAAAACAATTCGGCGGCTCGGCGCTGGTAACAAATCTTCGAGTATCGCGAAAGCGCACCTTCATTTGGCGACGATCTTTGACGAAATCCTGGTCAACCTTGTCCTTCAGGTAATCGACTTTCTGCGTGAAGTACACTTCAGGTGCCCGCGGCTCGATGCTGTATCTCTTCGCGAATGGAACCCAGCGCCTCGCGAATTCCGCCGTTTCGCCCATCGCGTCGAAAGTCAGCATCGCGCCACCATCGTCATGCACGTAAGCCGAAACTTTGTCGACAGGATAATCAACGGACAGGATGGAAAGAAGGGTGTTCGCCGTGGTGAGCGGGGGCTCCTTCAGCGGATCCACCGTCGATACGAAAAGATCAACGGCCGCCAGCTGTGAAGGCTCGCCCTTCCGATCGAAACGCAGCGACAGACGGTCCAGATACGTCTCTCGCTTGATCGGCATCCACTTCGGAAACTGATCGAGAATCCACGAAAACGCGAACCAGACTTCGCAAATAACCGAAATCAGCCAGAGCCACCACGCCCCGTCGACGGGATTCAGGCATCGCCAGCGAAGGAAGAAAACGAGCACCGCGAGACGAATCACGATAACCAGACGGTACGGGCTGATGAGCGATGACGGATAATGGACCTTGCGCGACAGAGGCTGACGGGATTCGTCCATGGACGGGAGATCGCCTTCCGCAGCGGCGACTGCGGAAACTTCGTCTGCGCCGTTGCCGTCGCCGACCACCATGCGACCTTGCTGCTGCTTCCACGACTCCACGCGATCCTTCCAGACGACGCTGCCGTAACCGTAGCTGGGGGCACGAAGCTCCACTGCAGACAGACGCGAAAGTACATATAATTAGATAATAAATTTAACGGAGGGTATCGAAAAAATGTAACCGCTCTGTGTTACGAGCGCTGCCATATGCGTAATTATTTAGGGTCTCGGTGTCAACTTACTGGCCATGTCGTTGGCGCTCGGCGTCTGGCTAGGCGTACGGCTGGGCGTACGCTCGTACTTGTTGTAATCCGACGGCGGCGGAATCGTA